TCTCTCTGTCTCTCTGTCTCTCTGTCTCTCTGTCTCTCTGTCTCTCTCTCTCCTGAGATTGCCTTTTCAGGCCCTTGTTCTGGGAGTTGCCAGAACTTGTTGCTGTTGGCTCATTACTTGGTGAGTCATTCCTGAAACCAGCTTCCAGACAGGCCCAGTAAATCACTTGTGTGTTTGTTAAGATTCCAGTTAAACGGGAAGCGTGCTTCTCCTGAACATCCTGTTGTGGAATGTCAGAGGCTGTACTGAGCAGTTTCTCTTCACTGGGAACTAATTCACCACCTTGGCCCAGCCATGGTTTGATAATTCATTCGCCCCTCCTTTTCACTAAACAACCCCTACATTACCGTGCCCCTTCCCCAGCCTTTGTCAGAGATGAGGGTCATTCTGTTCTCCCAAGTCTCTTGCCAGGCACTCGACAGGGCTGAGAGTCTTTGGAACGCCTTTCTTGAAAAGAGGGTCAAAGTAGAATCCTCGAATAATTTTAAAGTAAGTGTTAAGATCATAATATCATAAGATGTAGGAGCAGAAGTAAACACCTCACTTTTACAGTAAAGTCTAGAAATATTCACCAATCCTACTTTCCAATCAGCTGCGAAAACAGAAGTTGCTGGAAAAGCTCAGCAAGTCTGGCAGCATCTGAGAAGAAAATATCAGAGTTAACATTTCGGGTCTGGTGACCAGTTCTGAGGAAGGGTCACCGGACCCGAAACGTTAATTCTGATTTTTTCTTCTCCGATTCTGCCAGACCTGCTGAGCTTTTCCGGCAACGTCTGATTTTGTTCCTGATTTACAGCATCCGTAGTTCTTTTGGTTTCCCAATTAGCTGTTTTGTTTAGGCAGAAATAACGAAACACCTGTCTCCTTCCTCCACTGAATTCCTTGAGATGCTCAACACCAGCACTCTGGTGTAAGTTGCAATCTGGTGCTAAGTCACGCTAAGTTGGCTCCTTATGTATGGACTCAATAGATAGGCTTGGCTCAGTAGTATCACAGTTTGCCTAAAAGAAACTGACTACAGCGATGCCAACTGAGCAAGAAGCTTTGCTGTATGGAGATAAGAGTGACTCTTCACTGAGGTTTGAGTGCCTATAAGGACGTTGATGGGATGAAAGGATTTCATCTTTTTTTGTGATGTTTATACTGAGATTATTTAATAATTATTGTCTGGTGTAAACTTGTGTTTTATTCTTTTGCATAATAAACTATGTTCTTTTGTTAAAAGTACATTGGCAGCTTCTTGTGAATATGTTCCATGAGGAACCTCCATGGTAAACCATAGAAAAATAAAACTGATGATCTATCAAGCCAGGTTTCACTCTGGGATGTGAATTGTGTAGAATTACCATCAATTGGGATCATAATAGAGAGAATGTTTTCTGTCTCAGGTGTTATCCAAAATAATAGGTCACAAATATCAAGACTTAATAAATCTGATAGGAAACTGACGCAAACCTTCTTATCTGAGGGAGTGGTGAGAATGTGGAACTTCGTTCGACATACAGGAGCAAAGACATTACAGAAGTTGTAAAACTGAGATAGTGGGGGATTGTATAAAGTGAATGGTGAAAGACCCAATGGGTGGCATTTTTTAATGTCTCGGGTGGTTAGGATCTGGAATGTACTGACTGGGAGAGACATGGAGACAGCTTCAATTGTGGCTTTGAAAGGAACTAGATGAGCACCTGAACAGAGAAGATTTGCAGGGATCTGGAGAAAAGCCACGAGAGTGGGATTTATTCTGAGAGAGAGAGAACTGACACTGAATCACCTCCTTTGGCTGTCACCATTCTATTCTACTGAACAGTGCTGCAGTGCTGAAAGGAAATTATGATAAATGCATGCAGTAGAAAGTAACACAAAGATATACAGATGGTGTGAGGTGAGATGAGATGAGATGGGGTGGGTGGAAGCTTGTGTGAAGCATAACCACCAACATAGACCAATTGGGTTTAAGGGATTATTTCTATCCTGTCGAATCAATGTAAAAGACAAGTTTCTGCCAATGTCACCTCTTCATAAGCAGCCAGATAAACTGATTAGGGGCTAGCAGCATCTCACATACATCAAGAAAATTATAACCTGGACTATTTTTTTTAACCTCGTGTGTTGAAGGATTATACAAGTGGATCCAGAAATTCTCTCAAGTCATTCAGATAGGAGTGAATGGGTCTCCTTTTACTGCTCTTCACTGCATGAATACAGTGACCAAGACTGGGACACGCCAGTCCTAAAATATTAGACCTGAATGAAATGTTCACTTTAATCCTAATGTGTACTGTACATGTATGGGAGATAATACTGAGACCTGCATGGGAACAAACAGTACCAGCTGAATTATTCCCGTTTTACCCAGTTGTATCTATTAGAGCTGGGACTAAGCAACGCCGAAGGGAAGTTGTGACACAGCTGCCCACAATTTGCAGGAGCTGCCTCTGTCCTGTGTTGCCCATGTAAATTGCATTGTAAGCTTCAGATAAATATGTGGGAAGATTGCAAATGCACTGATATTTATATAAATAATATTCATTAATCGGGGCCTTTCTTTCATCTTTCCTTCAGTATATCAATGGAGGGAGCCTCGAGCAGGTACTAGGCAGCAATGAGTATCTGTCTTGGTTGGTGAAGATCAAGCTGGCACTGGACATTGCAAAAGGCCTGTGCTACCTGCACTCCAAGGGAATCTTCCATCGCGATTTGACATCAAAGGTAAAAAGAACACAGGAAAATCAAAGTGCAGTTAGCAAAACAATATCGGATCAGAAGGGTGTTCAGCTCACCTTAGTCTAATCCATCCAGAACAGCTCACACCTTCCTCAATGCTCCACCTTGTTCAATGCATTCTAGAGAAATTGTGCACAGTGGAGGTGGGAAGGACAGTATACCAGAAAACACAAATAATTGACAAAAGAACCCACAACCCACTTGCACCTAGAAGGAAAGGGCAGCAGATACATAAAAATATCACCACCTGCAAGTTCCCTTCCAAACCACTCACCATCTTGACTTGGAAATATATTGCCATTCCTTCACTGTCACTAGGTCAAAATCCTGGAATTCCCTCTAAGGGCATTGTGGGTCTACTTACAATACATGGACTGCAGCAGTTCAAGGTGGCAGCTCACTACTACCTTCTCAAGGGCATCTAGGGATAGGCAATAAATGCTAGTCCAGCCAGTGACACTTAAATTCCTGAATGAACTAAACAAAAAGAGTTGAGGAAAAGCAAGGGAATTCTCCCCATTGTCCTGGCCAATATTTGTCACTCCACGAATATGACTTGAAGTGAGGAATAGGCTATTTGTCTTTTTGCTGTGCTCAAATTCACAACTGCATTCTGTATGTCACAACAGTGACTAAACTTGAAAAGCATTTTGCTAGTTGTAAACCTGGTTGATTGATTGCTGTTACATGCACTAAGATATAGTGAAAAGTGATGTTCTGCATGCTATACAGGCAGATCATACCAAACAAAGTGCATCAGGGTAGCAGAACGCTGGGGAGGCAATGGCCAAGCAGCATTATTGCTGGACTGTTAATCCAGAACCCAGATGACATTCTGGGGACCCGAGTTCAAATCCTGCCACAGCAGATGGTGGAATTTGAATTCAGTGAATACCTGGAATTAAGAATCTAGTGATGATCATGTATCCGTTGTCGATTGTCAAGAAAAAGGCCCATCTGATTTACCTACATGTGTGTCCAGACCCACAGCAATGTGGTTGACTCCTAATTGCCCTCTGGGCAATTAGGGATGGTCAATAATTGCTGGCCTGGCCATGCTCTCACCCTGTGAATGAATAAAGGAAACACATCTAAGAAAGAACAGGGTGCAGAATATAGTGTTAAAGCCGCACAGATGGTGCAGAGAGAGAGAGATCAGAATTAACATTTGAGAACTCCATTCAGAAGTCTGATAACAGCAGGGAAGAAGCTGTTCTTGAATCTAATCGTACATGTATTCACTTTTGTATCTTCTGCCCGATGGAAGATGGTGAAAGAGAATAAAACTAGAGTGAGAGGTGTCTTTGATTATGTTGGTTGCTTTCCTGATGCAGTGAGAAGTATAGATGGAGTCAGTGGATGGAAGGCTGGTTTGCATAATGGACTGGGCTGTGGTCACGACCCTCTATAGTTTCTTGCAGTCTTGGGAAGAGCAGTTGCCACATCACACTGTGATATATCCAGATAGGATGTTTGTAAGAGTCTTTATGGAAATACAGATTTTCCTTAGCCTTCTGAGGAAGTAGAGACGTTGTTGTGCTTTCTAGACCATTTCGTCAATGTGGATGGACCAGGACAGATTGTTGATAATCATCACTTCCAGGAACTTGATGCTCTCGACCATCTCCACCTCAGCACCATTAATACAGACAGGTGCATGCCCTCCACTCCACTTCCTAAAGTCAATGACCAGCTCCTTTTGTTGATGTCGATAGAGAGATTGTTGTCTTTACACCATGCCGCTAAGCACTCAATCTCTTTCCTGAATTGTCTCATCGTCATTTGAGATCCGCCCTACAACAGTGGTGCAGTCAGCAAACTTATAAATGGAGTTGGGACAGAATTGGCCACGCAGTCATAAGTGTATAAGAAGTAGGGCGCTTTGTACGCAGCCTTGTGGGGCACCGGTGTTGAGGATTATAGTGGAAGAAGTGTTGTCACACATTTTTTCCTGATTGCAGTCTGTGGGTCAGGAAATTCAGTATCCAGTTACAGAGCGGGGAGCCAAGACCTAGATCTCCGAGTTTAGAGATGAGTTGGTTTGGAATTATGGTGTTGAAGTCAGAACAGTAGTTTAAAAAATAGGAACCTGACTGGTATCCTTGTTATCCATATGTTCCAGGGATGAGTTTAGGGCCAGGGAGATGGCGCCTGCTGTGGACCTGTTGCGACGGTAGGTGAAGTACAAAGGATCAAGGCAGTGTGGTAGGCTGGAGTTAATGTGAGCCATGACTAACCTCTTGAAGCACTTCATAATCACAGAGGTCACAGCCACCGGGTGGTAGTAATTGAGGCCCTCTGCATGATTTTTCCTTGGCACTGGGATGATGGTGGCAGATGGGGTCTTCAGGTTGTAGTAAGGAGAGGTTAAAGATGTCTGCAAATACTCCCACTAGCTGGTCCACACAGGATCTGAGTGCACGGCAGGGACTCCTGGCCTCATATAATATGTGTATGTTTTCCTTGAATCCGCCAGTCTGCCTCCCTACAACGGCAATTGGATCTAAATGTCCAGACTTCTGAACTACAAATGAAAGGGAAAGTATAAAAGAAGCAAGGTAATTTTATTCATTACGAAGACTCTACACAGGCTCCAGCGTGGGAATTTCCTACAGATGGAGACATCTCATATTGTACATGCTTCAGCAATTATTGTAAATTCTTGACTTGTACCTTGATAGATATTGGACAGGCTGTGGGGAGTCAGGAGGCGAGTTAATTTATTGCAGTATTCCTAGCCTTTGACCTGCACTTATAACCACAATATTTATATGTTGATGGTGGGGCTGCTCAGGGATGGTCATGCCATTGAATTTTAAAGAGATCAGTTAGATTCTCTTTTGTTGGAGTTGGTCATTACCTGCAACTTGTCTGGCACAAACATGATTTGTCACTTGTCAGACCAACTCTGAATGTTGTCCAACGTTGCTGCTTATGGACGTGGTCCTTCAGATTGTGAAACAGACTATGAGTGGTGCTAACAATGCAGTTCTCACTTCTGAACTTATAATGAAGGAAATGTTATTGATGAAGCAGCTGAAAATGGTTGGGCCTAGGACACTACCTGTGGAACTGAAGGCTCTTGTGGTACAGTGGTAACATCCCTGCCTCTAGACCAAGAGACTTGGGTTCAAGTCCCACCTGTGGGACTTGAGGTGTGTAATAATATCTCTCAACAGGTTGATTAGAAAGTATCTACATTGAGGAACTCTTGTGGTACAGTGATAGTGTCCCTACTTCTGAGCTGGCAGGCCTGGGTTTCATGTTCCACCTGCTCCGGAAATGTGTAATAGCATCCCTGCTCGGGCTAATTAGGAAAATATCTACACTGAGGAACTCCTGCAGAGATGTCCTGGAGCTGAGATACTTGGTCTTGGACAACTATAACTAACCCTTGTGCTGAGTATGACACCATTCAGTGGCGACTCCCCCACCTGGTTCCTACTGCCATCAATTTTGTGGGGGCTCGTTCATGTCACATATAGTCAAAAGTTGCCTTGACATCAGGGCCAATCATTTTGACATGGCATCTGAAACGTAGCACTTGAATGTAGTTTGGACCAGGCTGTAATGAGATCTGGAGCTGAGTAGCTCTGGCAGAATCCAAACTGATCATAGGTGAGCAGGTTACTGCACTGTGAGTGCAGCTCAATAACACTGCCAATGACCTTTACTATTGCTTGATGATTGACAGTAGTTTGCTCGGGCAGTAATTGCACAGGATCGACCTGGGCAACTGTCTTTGGGCCAGAAGGTCCAAGTTCCTGTCATACCATGGAGGTAAGACAGAACATGTCTCAAGAGGTTGATTAAAAATATCTATACTTGGGCAAGCTGTTCCAGAACCATTACAACACTGGTATCTACCTACCAATGCTGAAAATTGTTCAGGTATGTCCTGTACACAAAAAGCAGGACAAATGCAATCCAGCCAATTACTGCCCCATCAGTCTACTCTCGACCATCAATAAAGTAATGGAATATGTCATCAATAGCACTATCAAACAGCACCTGCTTAGCAATAACCTGCTCAGTGATGCCCAATTATGGGTTCCGCCAGGGCCATTCAGCTCCTGACCTCATTACAGCCTTGGTTCAAATAAAACCATTCAGCACGGAAACAGACCCTTTGGTCAACCGGTTCATGCCGAGCATAATCCCGAATTAAACTATTTCCCACTTGCCTGCTCCTGGCCCATGTCGGTCCAAACGTTTCCTATTCATATATCCATTCAAATGCTTTTTAAATGTTGTAATTGTACCCAAATCCACCACTTCTTCAGGAAGTTCGTTCCATATGTGAACCACCCTCTGTGTAAACAAAACAAATTGCCTCATGTCTTTGTTAAATCTCTCTCCTCTTACCTTAAAAATGTACCCCCTTGTCTTGAAATTCCCCATCTTGGGGGAAAGACAACTACCATCAACTCTATCTATACCTCTCTTTATTTACAAACTTCTATCAGGTCACCTTTCAACCTCCTACGCTCCAGTGAAAAAAGTCCCACCCTTTCCTTCTAACTCAAACCTTCCGTATCCAACAACATCCTGGTAAATCTCTTCTGAGCCCTGTCTAGTTTGATAATATCCTTCTTATGACTGGCCGACTAGAACTGGACATAAATATGAACAAAAGAACTGAATTCCAGAGGTGAGGTGACATCAAGGCTGCATTCAATTGAGTGTGGTATCAAGGATTATCGGGGACAAACCCTCCGCTGATTGGAGCAATACCTGGCCCAAGTAAAGATGGTTGTGGTTGTTGGAGGTCAGTAATCTCAGCTCCAGGAGTTCCTCAGGGTAGTGTCCTAGGCCCAACCATCTTCAGTTGCTTCATCGGTGACCTTCCGTCCATCATAAGATCAGAAATGGGGATGTTTGCTGATGATTGTGCAATGTTCAGAGCCATTCACAATTCCTCGGACTGAAGCAGTCCATGTCCAAATACAGCAAGACCTGGACGATGTTGAGGCTTGGGCTGACAAGTGGCAAGTAAACATTCACACTACACAAATGCCAAGCTATGATCGTCTTCAACAAGACACAATCTAATGACTGCCCCTTCACATTCAATGGCATTACCATCACTGAACACTGACTACAAGAGCAGGTCAGCATCTAGGAATGCTGTGGTGAATAACTCACCTTCTGATTGATTCCTCAAAGTTTGTCACCATCTACTAGGCACAAGTCAGGAGTGTGATGGAATACTCCCGGCTTGCCTGGATGGATGCAGCTCCAACAACACTCAAGAAGCTTGACAGCATTCAGGGTGTAACAGCCTGCTTGATTGGCACCATATCCATAAACCTCCACCACCGATGCTCAGTAGCACTATCTACAAGATGAACTGCAGAAATTCACCAACAATCCTTAGGCAGTACCTTTTAAACCCATGACCACTGCCATCTAGAAGGACAAGGGCAGCAGATACATGGGAATACCACCTGTAGCAAGATCCCCTCCAAGTCACTCATCATCCTGACTTGGAAACACATCGCTATTCCTTCAGTGTTGCTGGATCAAAACCATTGAATTTCTTCCTTAACGGCATGTGGGTCTTCGTACAGGATATGCATATAGCTGTTTAAGAAGGCAGCTCACCACCACCATGTTGAAGGAAACAGACAATGAATGGTGGCCCCGGCAGTAATGGCCACATCCATTGATACCCAGGCTAATGCTTTGAGGACAGCAGGCCAAGCAGCATCATAGGAGCAGAGAGGCTGACGTTTCGGGCCTAGACCCTTCATCAGAAAAGGGGGAGGGGAAGGGGGTATTGAAATAAATAGGGAGAGAGTGGGAGGCGGATAGAAGAGGGATAGAGGAGAGGATAGGTGGAGAGGAAACAAACAGGTCGAAGAGGCGGGGATGGAGCCAGGAAAGCTGAGTGTAGGTAGGGAGTTAGGAAGGGGATAGGTCAGTCCAGGGAGGACGGACAGGTCAAGGGGGCGGGATGAGGTTGGTCGGTAGGAGATGGAGGTGCGGCTTGAGGTGGGAGGAGGGGATAGGTG